GCAAGTGGCTTCCAAACTTTGTAAAACTCTTAGACTACGCCTGACTACTTTCCTAATTGTGTTGGGGGAGTAATGGGGATTGAGGATGAGTTTTATTTGTTGATTGAAATTGTTGTAAATGAAAGATGGGGAATAAAACGATCTAAATGTGTTATATGTGACTTGAATTTGTTGAATAAGTCATGTGATAACTGATATTGAGGGGATAGAAGAGCATGAGTAGGCTATGATTGATACAGACATTGATGTTGAGACAGATGATGTGTAATACTATGATGTGGTCGTGATATGGTTGTGATTGAGACATGTGATGTGTAATAATATGATGTGGTCGTGATATGGTTGTGATTGAGACAGATGATGTGTAATACTATGATGTGATCGTGATATGATTGTGATTGATGACGTGTGCATATTCATTATTCATCCCATGTGTGAACTATCTGTTGCATGAGTTCTGAGACACTGATATGAGGATGGATGGATATGAGACACAGTTGAGACTAGCTCCGGCTAGAGATATATGAGATGGACTAGCTTCGGCTTGCGATTTGGATGCCGATGGGATCTGGTTCCGGCGGTGATACATGGTCCATGTGTGGCCCCCATGGGTTCTGATTTGAGTATTCAGCGCGGACTGATTATGTCAACAGATGTGTATCGTAGGACAGACATGCATTACGACTACATGGCATCATTATTGCATTTTGCATCGCATTTGCCTTATCTTTGTCTGTGATGTGTGGGTTGTATCGATTTACTCTTCTTATGTGGAATTTGATCTACTTGCTCTTATTTGTTGATCTGAGGTTGATGATGATATACTATTGGTTCTGGCTGTTAAATATGATCTGTTTAGTATAGGTTGGTTGGTTTGCTGCTAGATTGAAGTTTCGGTGGTTCGGTTGGGATTGAAAGGAGTTGTTTGTAGCTGCTAGTTTTGCTTAGTTTAGAGTTACTTGCGAGTACCTGTGGTTTTCGGTACTCACCCTTGCTTTTACACAATTGTGTAGGTTGGCAGCTCTCTCTCAGATTCAGCTTAGTATTTTCTTTAGCAGATTGAGCTTCGGGACATACTCGAGAGGTAGCGGTTCATTCCAGATGTGCCCTTGAGTTATCTTTACTTTCAGTTTTGTTCTATTCGAGAACTATACTCTGAGACTTGTATATTTTTATTCGAATTCTGTATTTAGAGGTTTGTACATGTGACAACCAAATTCTGGGTAGTGTTGAGTCTTAATTAAAGTCTTCCGCTTATTTATTATTTTTTATTCTCGTATTTCTACTTCTCTATCGTTGTGGTTGGGTTAGGCTGACGTGTCCGGTGGGAAATGGACACGTGCCATCGCATCCGGATTTGGGGTGTGACAGCAGACCTGTTCCTTCGATGTGATAATTTTCTCTATGCGTCAGGTAGAGGCCGCGGACTCCACTATTTCAAAAATTATTTCGACCAAACATTTTAATTCATCTCCGCATCGCGGACATGCTCCCCAGACAGTGTTTTTCAACCGTTTCACATGTTTAACTATCTAAAAACACTCCTAAACATCCCGAGATCTTTCCTATCACAAATCACAAACTTGAATTCATAAATCAAATTCAAGATATAGTTAAGAGTTAAGTTTTTGAGAATTCTTTCGAACATTCTAAGAAAGTCCCTTTGAATCCTTTTGTGGAGTTTTCTACAACTTATAGTAACTTGTTTCAAGACTCGAGTAAGTAAGTATGAGAATGAGAAGAGTCATATACATGAGTTCCTTATTGATATTTTGACCCTTGAGTCGAGTCGTTCATGCCCATTACTTCCGCATGAACTCCATCAGTTGAGTACCTTTGAGAGGAGTAGTATCGTCGAGTTCTAAGTCTTGAGTATTGAATTCCTAATCCCCTTTGAGATTATATTTCTAATCATGGGACTATTACATGTCACCCATTAAGTCCTTGATTTTAAAAGTCAAGTCAAGAGCAGTTAAGACCAAAGTCAAGAGAAGTTCTTAAAGTTTTCCAAAAGTCTTTTGCAAACGTTCTAACCTTGTTTAAAGACTTAAGTTTTGAGTTCAGTAAAGAGTAAAGTTGAAGTTCTTTTCTTCAAAGAAGTATATGGGGACTATGTATTCCCGAAAAGATTTAAAATGTTTTCACATTTAAATAAAAATGGAAACTGAGATTTCTAAAGAGCTTTCGGGCTAGTTTTCATAAAAGAGTAATCGCTTTCTAAATTGAGCAAGAGAGGAAACTGAGATTTGCAAGATAGCCTTTGAGCTAAGTTTTTGAGCACTAATCTCAAATCACAGAAGAAGTATATTTTTAAACATAAGGGATAATATTATTATATTTTTGGGAGTAGTATTGAGCACTGATATGGGGGAGAATTCAGAGAACTCACAGCCCCCATAAACCATGTAGCCATCATGGGTAGAAAAGGGTCATACTTTTTAGATGATTCCTTTAGTGCTTTTTAGCATAGACTAGTGGATCCACTTAGTAGTTCAGGTCCTATACCCTTGGCAAGGTATAGGATGCTCTGGCAGCATAAGGGAAATCGATGTATCATCACAATAGCTCTTACGTGATGGTTGTCGATTAGAGAAACTCCCATAGAAGTTATTGTATTCTTATATACACAGTTATTTGTATTTTTACATACATTTCAGAGTTATGTTGTATCCTTGCATACACACAGAGTTGACATCATGTTTTTAAACAACTTTTCTTTATATTGCACTTGTTTTAAACTGATTTATATCGAAATGAGTTCAGTTATATTAAGTTGAGTTGAGTTGAGCCAGGTAAGTTCTTTAGATTCCTTTCAAGTCTATGTTGTATTTAACATTCCAACTTGCATACTCGTACATTCAATGTACTGATGCCAGTTAGCCTGCATCTTATTATGATGCAGATACATGTAACTAGGATCGGCATTCAGCGCATCGTTGATCCAGTTGAGAACTCCAGAATCAGTTGGTGAGCCTCTTTGCATTCCGTAGGACTCCTTTTATTGCTTTTAGTTTTATTTTTAGTTCATTAGGATGTTGTGGGACTTGTCCCAACATCCATCTCAGTTGTGTTAGAGGCTTCATAGATAGTCAGACAGTTAGTTATGAGTCTTTTAGCTTTGTATTTCAGATGTTTTGCTATGAGAGTTGAGTAGCCAGTTTGGCTAGTTTGAATGCTTTCTTTAAAAGACATTCAATGTTTTTCATAAGTTCCTTATTTGAGGATATTTCTGAAGTTTAAGTCTTCCGCTGAGTAAGTAAGCCAGACCAGGGGTTCGCTTAGGGCCAGAAATGGTTCTCGAGTGTCAGCTACGTCCAGGGTATAGGCTCGGGGTGTGACACAGAAGATACTGGCTGCAGGAGAAACAATACACGACACAAATCTATGGCATAAAAGGCTTGGACACCCATCTCAACAGATATTGAGACATCTCAACAGTTATTGAGACATCTCAAGTTAGCTACAAGCAATAAAAGTGGTAAAGTATCTTCAAACTGCCCTGTTTGCCCTTTAGCAAAGCAAACTAGGCTTACCTTTCCTATTAGTAATACTAGAGCATCCATGATGTTTGATGTTGTTCATATGGATCTATGGGGACCCTATAAGACCCCTACTCTAGATAGAAAGCATTATTTCTTGACAATAGTAGATGACTATAGTAGATTTATATGGTTCAGTTGTTGCAATTAAAATCTGAAACCATTGTGGCTATCAAAAATTTCCTTCCCATGGTTAAGACTTGGTTTGATTATCATATCAAGATTGTAAGATCTGACAATGGAACAAAGTTCTTTAATTCACAATGTACAGACTTGGTTCATCATCTAGGAATATTGCATCAAAGCATTTGTCCTCAAACACCACAAAAAAATGTTGTGGTGGAGAGGAAGCATAGACACATCCTTAACATTGTTAGAGCTATCAGATTCCAATCTCATTTGCCTATTAGATTTTAGGGGTATTGCATCAAGGCTGCAGTGTATTTAATGAATAGATTGCCTTCCTCAGCTATTGCTAACAAAAGTCCATATGAACTACTTCACTCTAAACAGCCAAATATGTCTCATCTAAGAGTCATAGGTTGCCTTTGCTATGCTTCAACACTGCCCAGAGGGGATAAGTTCCCAGCAAGAGTTGCTCCTGCCATCCTCTTAGGGTACTCAGACCTACAAAAGGGTTACATATTGTTGGACATCAATTCTACGAAATTGTTTGTGAATAGAGATGTGGTTTTCCACGAAGAAAATTTTCCATTTACCAAAGTGATGCCTCAGATTAAATCCTCAGTTGATGTACATGGTTCCCCTTTAGAGACAATAGAAAATATTGATGTGGTGAATGAATCTGCTAATGAAGATAGTGAGGAACCTGAAGTTATTGTCACAAGAAATGAAGATGCTCAGGCAGTAGATGTTGGTGTTGAGAATTCTTCAGTATGTTAGATGCCTGAAACTGATCCAGTACTGGAAATTTCTGAAGATTTCCCTGGGGTACTATCACATGTTGACCCTCGTATCAGAAGAACTTCAAGAAACATCAAAGAGCCAATTTGGATGAAAGACTATGCCACTACTAAGAAACACAGCAGCACCAGACATCCCATGGCCAATTCTCTGAATTATGTCAAATTGAAGCCTTGTTGCAGAGGCTATTTGAGCAAGCTTTCTGATTGTGTGGAACCTAAGTATTTCAGCCAAGCTGCAAAGGATGAGAGGTGGATACAAGCTATGCAATAGGAAATCAAAGCTCTTGAGGAAAATAATACTTGAATAGTTGTTGATTTACCAAAGGGCATGCATACAGTTGGTTCCAAATGGATATACAAAGTGAAATGTAAGGCAAATGGTGTGGTAGAAAGGTTTAAAGCCAGGCCAGTGGCAAAGGAATATAGCTAACAATAACGACTAGATTATCATGACACTTTTTCTCTTGTTGCCAAGATGGTGACAGTAAGATGTGTCATTGCTCTAGCAGTATCAAAAGGCTAGACATTATACCAGATGGATGTCTATAATGCATTTCTTCAAGGTGATCTAGATGAAAAGGTCTACATGGAGATGCCCGAGGGCTTGAAAAGACCAGGTGAAAACAAAGTATGCAGGTTATTAAAATCATTGTATGGGCTTAAACAGGCCTCAAGAGAATGGAACTTAAAACTCACAAAAGTATTGCAGGCCACATGTTTTACTCAAACTGCTCATGATTACTCATTATTCACACTTAAAAAGGGGGAAGACCTTGTGATTGTTTTGGTCTATGTAGATGATTTATTGATTACAGGGTGTATAAGGAAAGCATGTACAGACAATTCAAGCTGAAGGATCTAGGTGAACTTAAATTCTTCTTAGGCACTGAAGTGTTGAGAACTTCAGAGGGAGTTATTTTGAATCAAAGGAAGTATATCTTAGAGCTTATTGTTGATGCAGGCCTGACTGGTGCTAAACCTGCATCCACACCACTGGAGTCCAATTTGAGATTGACATCAGTGGAACATGATCTAGTAACTAGCTACACTGGAGATGTTGTGCTCAATGACATTACTTCATACCAAAGGTTGGTTGGTAAGATATTATATGCCACCATCACTAGACCAGATATAAGCTATGCAGTGCAAACCCTCAGCCAGTTTATGTAATCTCCTAAGAAGTCACACCTGGAGGCTTCTACTAGAGTGGTTAGGTATTTGAAAGGTACAGTTGGTCAGGGTATTTGTCTGCATTCTAAACTGACCAACATACTCACATGTTGGTGTGATTCTGATTAGGCTGCTTGTCCGAACACAAGAAGGTCCATCACAGGGTATGTCATCAAGTTTGGAGATTCTTTGGTATCCTGAAAATCCAAGAAACAACAGACTGTTTCAAGAAGCTCAGCTGAAGCTGAGTACAGAAGCATGGCTTCAGCAATCTCAGAAATCACCTGGCTCCTAGGCTTGTTCAAAGAGCTAGGAGTGTCTATTCAGTTGCCTATTACTGTTTTCAGTGACACTAAATCAGCCATCCAACTAGCAGCTAACCTAGTGTTTCATGAAAGAACAAAACATATCGAGATAGATTGCCACTTCATCAGAGACAAGATCCAAGCAGGGGTGGTTGACACTTCCTATGTACACACACAACAACAACTTGCAGACTTATTGACAAAAGGGTTGAGTCAGGTCCAACATGTATACCTTTTAGGCAAGCTTGGTGTGGTTAATGTCAGCTTGAGGGGGTATGTTGAAATGGCTAGATATTCAAAAGTTAGTTACTAATCCATTAGTTAGTTAGAAGGTCATTTCAGTGTTAGTTAGTGCTAGTTAGTTACCTCGATTACTATGCTGATGAATCAGTTAGTAGATTAGATTCTTCTTCTCTAAATTCATCAATGGTGCTATGAGCTTGTATGCTCACAGTTTTCTTCATTTATAAACAGCAAAATTACTGATATTTTTTAGATACATCTATTGGAGTAATTGATAGATTTTAGGTCTTTTGTAAAAATCATAATTGACGTATGAATTTGGAGATACATCTATTGGAGTAATTGATAGATTTTAGGTCTTTTGTAAAAATCATAATTGACGTATGAATTTGGTGTTACAAACTTTGTAGCTTTCCTGTATATGATTAAGGTGTATGATTATTGGTTGAAGAAATTTTAAATTGGTTATATTATTTATTATTTTGTGTTAGTATATTTCACAAGACAAAAACAATAAAAAATATATATAGAAACACCATTCTGCATACCAATCTATGTAATTTGGTTACCATTCTGACTCTCCTGCACTTTTTTTGTGTACATTCTGTTTATGTATGTATTAATTATTTGTAGATTTTAAAATTTCACTAATTATTTTGGAGATTGGTTAACAATGAGATATAATCTAACATATGTAAGTACGTGGATTACAATATTGAAGGAGTGATATATGATGCGAACACCAAATACGAAGACTTAATTACTGCTATTGCTTCCCAATTGGGTGTGGACACAACCATATTTCATTTAGAACTCAAATATGTTGTGAATGACTCTTCTCCACCAATGAAGATTCAAAACGATATGGGTGTCCAAGTTTATTTAGATTAAAAAATTCAATTCTGATATGGACGTCATAGAGTACCAAATTCGTGATCAAGCAACAAGGCAAGAAATTATCAGATCAAATACACCTGGGCATAACAAGAAGACTTGCCCCAAATTTGCGAATCAAAATTAACATTGGTGTGTTGTTAATTTAATTTTTTTTTGTTATACTTTAAAAAATTATGCAGTTAAATTTTGAAGGTCTTTGTTGAAATTCGGATGTTTTAGGTGAATGTTAAGTGCACTTCAGTCCAACTCCGATTAATGTTTGATGTACTGAATGTTATTATTGGTGAATTAATTGTCAAAGCATTGGTTTTTGAATGTTTGTTATATAAACTTACCTTGTTATACACAAATTTATATAAGTAATTGTTAATGTAAAGACCGATATATATGGTTATATAACAAAGTTAAAATTTTATGCTATACAAATTTAGATTTTCGTACCATTAGTGTAATATTCAATTGTAAATGGATAATTAATGATATTGGTGTATATACCGGATGAAATGAAGGTATTATATACCAACGTCCCGTAATGGATCTGTAAACAACTAATTAACTCAAGAAAGCTAATTTGATACAACAATGGAACACAACATTTTGATAATATATACACAAATAATTAAATGTAAATGTCAGTTACTTGACAACAATATAAGCACCAATATTGATATATTTCCGTAATATTTACAATGTTCATAATAATTGGTGGTATGTAAGTACTGAATTATTGGTATTATATACCAAACTCACGCAATTAATCAGTAAAACAACTAATTAACTTTTAAAAAGAAGTAGTTTGACACTACAATGAAACACAATATTTTGACAATATATTTGTCAGTTAATTGAATACATTATAAGCAGCAAAACTTATTCAAAATATCAAAAAAGTATCCAAAATACCAAAAATTTATCCAAAATACCAAAAACATATCAAAATACCAAAATAAAAAAACATTTTTTAAGAACAAAACCAACAACATAATTCATAAAAACGTTTCTTAAAGGAACATGTTCCTTTTTAATCCTTCATCTTCTGGATTAACTGGCAATTTTTTTTCAGTTGTTTCGCTTTCACTGTGATACCAGTAACAACTTTCCTCTTTCCATAATTTCAAAGTAATGCTCCATATCTCAAAAGAAAATTTTCAGAATAAAAAACTGGCGTTCATATCTTCTCGACACACATACTCATCAAATACGCAAGTATACAGACGACAATCGCTACAAAAAAATATGGAATATGACTTTTTCGAGGCGTTCTATCCATAAAAATCAAAATATGCAATAGAAAAAATAAATTGATGAAAATGAAGAACTGAAAGTAAGACAATGGTGAAGATGATAGAAGAGAGAAGGGTGAAAACTTTTAGCAAAATAAATTACATATGGAATATCTAATATTTCGAATGAATTAAAATGTTGGGAAGACAATTTTTTTTTACTTTGATGCAAAGACTTTTAGAGTATATTGGAGAAAATAATGCATGCATTAGCTTGATGTATTATTTAGTACCTTGTTTGGTACACTTTTATAACATATGCATAACTAATGCTTATATTAGTAATACACTCTATTGTGTATTGAAGAGTGTATTACTAATACCATCTATTTCTATGCATTATTAATGTAATGGGTTCTAATGCATGCATTAACATTATTAAAGACACAATTGCCCTCAAAAACTTCTGTTACATCCTTTCCATTATATTTGTGGAGGGTATTTTTGTAAACAAATATTTTATCTAAAAAAAATATGTAATGCATAATATTTTTAGTACAACAAACCAAACATGACATAAAAAAATCTCATCATAACTAATGCAAGCATAACTAATACAAGCATTACTAATACACTATATTTTGCATTATTCTTATACACTCTACCAAACGGAATTGTACCAAAAAGACAATAAAAATAAAAGGCTTTAGTTTAGTGTAAAGAACTTTTAATTTTTGTGGAGTGTATAAAAAAAAGCAGAAAAAATAAAAATATTATTGGATCAGCACAGTAACGTGTAACTTAAAAACAGTAATTGGAGAGATAAAATATAGGAAAATTAATTACCACAATTATCATCCCAAAATTAGGCAATAATCCCAAAAAGAGGAGAGAAGAAAATAAAAATAAAAAATTAAATTATATCCAAAAACTTAATTATTTTGCTATGTTTGTTATTTTAGAACTATGTTTATAATTAAATAGAAGTATGTGTATATATTGTTAATTAAAGTCTTAGGGTGTGTTTGGTATGAAGGATGAAAATGTTTTCCAATTTTCTCATGTTTGGTTGGGTTAAATGTTTTCCAAATCAACTCATTTTCCTCAAATTTAAGGAAAATGACTTCCCTTCAAAACTTAAGGAAAACATTTTCCAAAACTCTCTTCCAACTTCCAATTAAAAAAAAAATTGTTGAAAAAATCAATTTATTTTGTCTTTGCCCTCAAACCAGCCCCCCCCCCCCCCCCAAAAAAAAATAAAAAAAAATTTAAAGCTTGTTTTTAAATTCAATTTTTTTACCCACCCTCACCCCTACCCCTACCCCCACCCCCTCCCAAAAAATATTTAAAATTATTTTTAAAAGATATTTCTAATTTCAATTTTTTATTTTTTACCCCCACCCACTACCCTCCCCCCCCTCTATCAATTTTTTTTTATTGTTTTTAAAAAATATTTTCAACTTCAATTTTTTATTTTTTCATCCCGATCCTCGATCACCCACGCCCCCTCCCCGGCCTCCCCCCCCCCCCAAAAAAAAAATTGAGTTTGTTTTTAAAAAATATTTTCTACTTCAAGATTATTTTTTTTCACCCCTACACTCGATCCCCCCCTCCCCCCCAACTCACCCACCCCCTACTCGCCACCCCTACCCCAAAAAAAATAATTTAAGTTTGTTTTTAAAAAATATTTTTAATTTCAAAATTTCATTTTTTCACTCTACCTTGACCCCCCCCCCCTCACGCACCTCCTACCCAACCCCCACCCCTACCACCCCCCCCCCCCCCAAAAAAAAAATTTAAGTTTGTTTTTAAAAAATATTTTCAACTTCAAAATTTCATTTTTTCACGCTACCCTTGACTCCTCCCTCCCCTCTGCAAAAAAAATTTAAGTTTGTTTTTAAAAATTATTTTCAACTTCAAAATTTCATTTTTTCACCCTACCCTTGACCCCCCCCCCCCACACCCACCTCCTACCCAGCCCCCTACCAGCCCCCCACCCCCAAAAAAAAAAAATTAAGTTTGTTTTTAAAAATATTTTCAATTTCAAAATTTCATTTTTTCACCCCTACCCTTGACCCTCCACCCACCCACGCCCTACCACCCCACCCCCCCAAAATAAAAAATTTAAGTTTGTTTTTAAAAAATATTTTCAATTTCAAAATTTCATTTTTTCACTCCTACCCTCGACCCCCCAACCCCCTATCAGCCCCCCACCCCACCCACCCCCTACCAGCCCCCATCCCCCAAAAAAATTTAAGTTTGTTTTTAAAAATTATTTTCAACTTCAAAAATTCAATTTTTTACCCCTACCCTCAACCCACCCCCTACCATCCCCCCCACCCCCAAAAAAATTTAAGTTTGTTTTTAAAAAATATTTTCAATTTCAAAAATTATTTTCTACCCTAGTAAAAATAAAAGATATTTCTCAAAAAAAATAAAATCATTCATAAATCAAACACTAAAAATCTTTTCTGGAAAATATTTTCTACTCACCAACCAAACATGAGAAAATAAGTCAAAAATCAACTTGTTTTCCAGGAAAACATTTTCCATGGAAAACATTTTCCTTCATACCAAACACACCCTTAATGTAACATCCGGCAATGTGAAATAATTGAAGAGGCTTA